AATAGTTAAAAGTTGCTTAAAGAGTAAACTATGGTTTATAGAGGTATCAATTATGACATAATTCTTCATTGGATAATTTATATCTAGAGGTTAAGAAAAACACAGAAAGTCTCTATGCAGTTATACAAAATTATAATACCAAAGGCAGGGGAAAAAAAATTATCAGTGGAACTTACAGATACGCTTTTGGGTTCTAGAAGAGATTTGGCAATATAGGGAAACACAGCTGAATCCAGAAGTTTGCCTCAATCTTACATCAATAGGCGTTCCCTGTCAAAACTCTCTCCAAAAAGAGACAGTTTCTCTTTCATCTGCCTGAACTTTCATGGTCTCCTCAAGGAAGTTTAACTTCAGATGTATCTAAGCAAGTTTCATATGTTTTCAAAGGGGATCCAAATTCTCACAAAATCTTTTTGTCTCAAATTCTGTACAGGAAAATTTTCCCTACATTCCACTAATTCTGTATAGAAAATTCTAATCCCCTCACCAAGTATGTACAATACTATTAATACTAGATGCTCCTATTATAGTTTCATTATGAGTAACTTTCAGTGTTATTTACTTCTATAAATTGATTCTAAATTTACATCTGCCATTTTTATAAACACATAACAATAGCAATATAGTTAAATATTTTAAAATTATTCAAAAGTGGTATTTCTCAGCAAAAGTAAAACATTAGAAAAACTTAATTTCTTTAAAAAAACTGTTTCAGTGAGCTTATTTTGAATTTTTGCTTAATATGAAAAAATTACTTTGAACTAGCTGCTAGATATTCCATTCATTCATTTGACATTCATTCAACATTATTTTTTCTTTCCTGCACATAACACAGTTAATGATGGATTAAATAAACTTGAGCTTTACTTTTATTTAATTCTCCAAGCCCAAGTCACACGCAAGTACTTAGGATCAAACATAAATGACACCCACACCCTTGTGGAAGCCAATAGGCATATGCAGACCCACCTCTCACTAAATGAGTTTAAGAGTAAACAAAGTTCTCTGGAATATAGCTATACATTTGCCATCACTGATCTTAAAATTATCTTGTATATGTTCCATGACTTAGATGTCAGTGCTGTTCTTGTGATAATCAAGAAAACTCAACAAAAGTAAATAATAAGGAATAAGATTTCTGTCAGATAGAGTTGAGTTCTGGAGGGCCAAAAATCAAAGATTTTTTTGGCTCTTCCAACCCCACCCCTAAACCAATTTGTGCCCATTTAGGGCACAAATATTCCCCCCTAACTGGGAAAGCGGGTCATAAGGTAGAAGGGGAAAAAGGATTGAATACCTTTCGTTAAATATAAGGAATAGAAATTAATAATTTTAAACAGGACATAGTTTTGCTTTATGCAATAAATATATTTTATCATCTATGAAGGTTTTATTCACTTGTTGGCTTGCTTAAATCCAGTGGAAAATTTTCTTGAACAAGAAATCACATTCCTTGAAGATACTGCAAAAGTGAGGAGTTATTACTAAGCATCCAAGCATCATCTCCAACAAAGAAAAACTACATGGGTAAAAAGCAGAGTGGGACATTGCTCGTCCAATGGTTAATACTCTGCACTCCCAATGTAGGGGGTATCCGTTTGATCACTAATCGGGGAACTAAGATCCAACATGCCACAGGCCAAAAGGAAAAAAAAAGCAGAAAGAGATTTTATTGAGTAAAAGTGAGGCAAGGGGAGAAAAAAAGAGTGAGCTGCTTAATTTGCCACCTTCATCTAACTTTAAATATAAATACAGTATACATTTTGATCTATTTACTGCTCCAAGATATTTTGATATTACGACTTAAAAGTTACTTGCTCCTATCTACTTGTTATTTAGAGAGCCAGTTTGCTTTCACAGTTTCTCCCATCTCCAAATCTGTATCAGACAGATATCAAGTTTCTTAACTGCTACTAATTATAAACAAATTCCATGATAAAATTCTCACTTTACATTTAACAAGTTTTTATTTCCCTAAGGAAAGAACATGACTGGTCAACTGCCAAAGAAGAAACTGAAGGAGACTTCTGGAAGTATATTCATAGAGGTAGTCCAACATAGCCCAGACATCTTCCTTTGCCATTACATTCTTATTCAAACAACCCTAGAACCAGAGTACAAGTTTGCTATAACTATACAAATCAGATCAGGTTCCAACCAAAACTTAATAATACCTAATAAAAACTCAATCAAATAGCTCAAAAATTATTTCTACCTTAACACTAACAGAAATCTTTATACAGAATAGAAACTAAACATACCTTGCAAATAAAACAAGAAGAAATACCCTCAAACTCACGTATCAGTGAACATTCACTTCTATTCAACATTCAGTACCAAAATAAATCCAGCAAGATAAGATCTGACTTCATCACTCCTACATTAGAACTGACAGAATAACTCTGATAGCTTATATTCTGTTATAGCTTATATTCTGTTTGATCACCTAACGGCCTTAGAATCTATATTTATCCATGACTATCAGGGTATTTATAAAATATATTTGTTTTGAGTAAAAATAAATAAGGTATACTACTTTTACATCTTTCCTGCTGTAGCCTGGGGCAAAGCTGTTCAGGAAAAAGAAAAAAGCAAATCCTTTTATGTAAACCCTAACACCTTCTATATAGGTAAGAAGAAAACAGTTGAAAGGCTGAATTTTTTTGAAGTTTGGGAACAGGGAGATATCTCATCTTTCAAGTATAAAGTGTACAATCTGGCTAAACATAATTTATTTCTTCAAAGGATCATATAAGATGAGCATGTAATAATTATTAATATTTATTGGGGGGACAAGAGGAAAATGAAAGTAAAGTTTTATAAAGATTAACTCAAATGAACATATTTACAATAGAACTAGAAACTCTTTAGCTCCCTGGCTAGATAAAAGCAGCCATCTACTGCACCAGTGTGTATTTTCAGCAAAATACAGAAGCAAAACTCATTAGCTCTTTAAAAAATACACACATTTAATGTTCGTCTGTTTTAATTCTAAGTAAAGCAATTCCAAAAATACAAACTGAACATCAGAGCCATGTGAACCACCATGATAAAATAAAACAGACATTCACAATAATTACGTCTAAAGACAGTTCAGCTTAATAAATCATCTTCCAAGTATGCTAAAGAAAGAATTACTAAAAATACTGCTGGTGTTCAGTTAGAATTAAAGGACTTTGGGGAAAATGAAATAATATGATACAGGTGGAGTGAATAAGGTTACACGGGATTTACATTTTCCATTACCCCTAGATATAAACAAACATTCAAAATCAACACAAACTCTTGTGTGTTATTCAAAATATTGCAGCTGCAGGAAAGGCAACTTTAAATTAATAGCTAGGGGAAAATCAAGTTTTGGTGGAGGTAAACAGAAGTGACAGTTCTTAATTTGCACTTTTGTAAAGCTCATTTATACCTGGCCAACCAGGAACCAAATGCAGGACTACGAAGTTCTCTGCTTCTTTTGGCTATATGTGACAAGAAAAGGTCATCTTTTGAAGATGTTTAAAGAAATAAAGCAACTTTCTTATAAACAGTCAAATAATCAATCAATGGAATAAATAAGTACTAACCCACATTTTTAACCACTCTGTAATCACTACACTTTACATATTTTTCATTTTGGTGGCAAACTCTCCAATTTTTAGGCTAAAATCCACCAATCACTTTTAAGAGTAAAATGAATAGCGCCACCAAAATAAGAATATTCTTCTGTTTACTCTTTGGCTAAAAAAGAAAACAAACAAAACAAAAAGAAACAGAAGACAACTCTAACACTGGTGATAAAAGAAACTGGTTTTTTTTTTTTAAAAAAACACATGTAAAATAAAGTTATCAATTTAAATCTTGGTACATTTCATAAAAACAAGAGGTAATGTTGTAATAAAACAGCAGTTGCCTCGCAGGCAACACACTGTTTGTTAACCCTGTGCAATAAAATACTTTGTTCATACTACACTTATTCAACATGACTAACAGTTACTACAGACATTTCAGGAATCTTCACGGGATTCCTAAAGACTTACTGTTAAAACTGAGAGACATTTACAATCATAATGTGCCATGAAAATCTGAAAACGTTACTTCTAATAGGAGATAATGTTCATACTATTTGAATTTGTTTTAGATTCTGAACAGCTGAGTTACAAGGACTGATAATGAAAAGCATTCGAAAAAGCCCATGAACACTGTTGTTCACACCCTTCTTCAGAACACACTAAACTTGTTTGACACATTTCTCTTCATACATAGCAAGCAACAGCACCCAATAAAAGCCTGAGAAGAAATGCTGCTGTGTAAATACTGCAACTATTCCTGAAAAAAGAATTATGGGATATATACTCCAAAGCTGCCCATTCCCATAATTTGTATTGCATAGGTCACATAATCAATCACACACATATATATACACATGTGTGTATATATATGCACATGCAAAGAATATATTAAGACGACAATGAAGTCTAGTCACAGAGCAATTTACAGGCTCAATATATTTTTTACATTTTGTTTGAAAGAAAATTTCAGTATTTTACAGTCTTTTAGTAGGCATTATATACACTGCACTTCTAAAAGGTATTGAAATAAATTTTTTCCAACATTTTGGTAACAAAACAGACAATGTTTCTGCAAATACTTGTGCTATCTATCTACATGATCAGTTTGCTCTGAGAACCACTAACCACAAAAACTGACTCAATGGAATAATTAGAAAAATTATCTAACACCATGCATGGGTTTGAATCATTTTTAATATCCTATCCTAGAAACATTCTACAAATCTTAAGATTTAAAAAATTAAGTCTCTGATTTTTAAAAGATATCTTTTTATGACAATATCCATAACATTGACAAGTATATGTTAAGGCTAGTATCATCTTATGTGATTTTTTTAACCTTTTTTTTTTTTAAAGATAGTAAAAGCCAGACTCCTTTAGGGTTTTGAATTGTACCTACAGAAAATGAGAGTGCAGTGAACATAATGTTCAGTCCTACAGTCAGGACGCAGTTGCTCCTTCCCATTCCACAAGATACTGCACTTTTCCATCAAGTGTCACCCGACGAGCCAATACTCGGTATTTTTCACCACATGCTATTCTACCTGCAGCACCAAAATAACTGGTAATGGAGTTTTTTAGATGATTGAGTTGTAACTCCTGATCTGCTAAGTTATTCAAAATCTCTGTGTTGAGTTCATCAAATTGGTAATCTTCTTTGCCTTCATCATCTTTTACAATTTCTGAGTTCTGAGTCTGGAGTGCTCTTCTTGGAAGACGACCCCTTCTCCTCCGTAAATGTGGTATTGCAGCAGGCCAAGATCTTCCTGTACGAGTTCTTTTTCTGGAGTCAGATAATCTACAGAACAAAAAAGGCCACAATTGTCTACCCTTGCTGACATAAAAATCAGCCAAATCAAAACAACAAATGCTATATGAAATGGATTATCACTCGCCTTCATCAAATTCAATCACCTTCTTGGGGCTGACCTTTGAAGAGCTTTTCTTCCTTAACTATGTACTATTAAGCTTAAAAGAATCAGAGGAAATTTTGATTTATGAAGCCAACAAGGCGAATTCTTACTTACCAAGAGGATTTCTAAGTCAGATCTTGTCAACATTTTTATCATTAAAAAGAAGAAAGTTCATTCATTCATTCACTCAGTGCAAGAAATATTTAATAAGCACCTATTACATAAAAGACACCTTTACATGTGCTTTAACTGATGGCAGAACCAGTACAAAGGTTCTCTTGGTTATCAATTCTAGGCCTATTGTTAAGTAATATAATAAATTGAAATAAGCCTCAACTATACCCTTGGTATAGCTCAACATGATATTGGTCAAATTTAAATCTCTTATCTTCTGTGTTCTCTTAAGAGATTAAGTGAAGGGGCTAAACAAGACAAGCTTTGAGTTCAGAGATTCAAAGATTTTATGATATTATAAAACAAGGTAAAAAAAAAAAACAAGGTCAAAATATAATATAGACAGTAAATTTAAAATCATACTGCCCAAGTTAAAACCCCAGTTTTGTATATTTGCTAATAAACATGCCATCGTGGGCTTGTTACAAAAACCCTCTAAGTCTCAGTTTTCTTATCTCTTCAATGGAAACAACTCAAAAGACTGTTTTAAAAATTAAATAAAACAATGTACAAAAAAAAAAAGATAATGTGCATAAGCTTAACAGAATGTTTGGTTGTGAAAACAAAAATCAAACAAAGGGAAATATAAAATCTTCAAGCTCATCGCTCTGGCTCCAAATAAACTAAATTTTTCTTACTTCATACATCAGACTTCAGGAAAAAGTTGCCTTTCTAAAGAGTTAGGTTAAAAAAAAATACCAGAGGGAAAGTCTGCTATTGATAAAAAAAAAAACCTGAGTTTAAAATCCTTTTTCTAATAAAAAGGTTTGTGTGCTTGATTCCAACTTATTAAAAAAAAAAAATTCACACTTGTGTATTAAAGTATAAAAAGGTCTCACAGAAAAGAGCACACCTATAAACACCAGGACACTTCTTTGTGTACACAGCAAAATTCCTGACAAATCTGAAAATTTTAACATCTGTGCTCTGAAAAGTCAAAATATTCAGATGAATATTAACAACCTAAGATATCTATATATAGACTGCATATAAAAAAATGCAAAAAAACTGGTATCACTTTCAATTGTTAAAAATGTATTTAATCATCACTTTACAAAGAAAAAGCTCTAGAGGAAAATTAGTTAAGAATAAGAACATAAAATATCTACCCATAATGCCTGGAAATACTAGACGAGGTAGTTTCTTTTGCACTGGAAGCACCCGTGAAATCCACATCTGAGGTATTGGATGAATGTGCAGTTCCCTCAGTTCTCCTGAGACAAAAGAATTTAAATGGTATAACAACTATATTACATAACAATAGAAATACTAATTTCCCCCCCAAGAAGAAAATTCCTAGGATAGGCGAAAATAACTTTCTATTTACCCAATAGAACAAGGTAAATCCAAACTAGGATTCTCTGAAATTGATTCCTTATCCTGGAAAAGAAAAAAAAAATTTTTTTTATGGTTTCTAAAAGTAACGAAAAAAAGTTTCTCAGTAATTTCAAGCAAACTTCTTCTCTGAGAACATATACCAATATATCCTCTTACCAAAGGTGGCTCAGCAGTTTTCTGAATCATTTTTCTTGTATATGGGCCAGGTGGACGACCTACAGATTTTTTCTTTCCTTTTTTTTCTATGCCATTGCTTACTTCCCTGAAACATAAAACCATTATGTATTTAATCTCTGCAGAAAGAAAACAAAAAGACAATGGACAATATATACTGTCATAACCTCTACTTATGTAATAATTAGATTATAAAAACAAAGTTAAGCTGAATCTACAAGTTTAGTCAAGTTCACAGATAATATATTCTAATTTGAATAAAAATGTCTTAAAGAGATATTTACATATGAAAGGTTTAAAGGAAAAAGTTCTCTAATAACAATTTTGAAAAATACACATCATCTAAAAAATTTTTACAAAACAAACAAAAAAAGTACTACTACTACTGTATTGGATGGAAGATTTCAAAACTCCTTGAAGTTCAATTATTTCATTTAGGTTGTTACTATGTAGGTACCTGGAGGATGTTTCAAGAATTTCGTACTAAATTCAGTAGTATGAATTCAGTAATTAACCTCATGGAGCCAGGAAGTATCTATGTTAAAATTGTTCAGTCCCTATACAGTAGCTCTAAATAGAAATATTCTGTGGGTTCCTGAATGATGCTAATCAGAAAGAGGTCAGAGAATGTTAAGAAGGAATCCTTCATATTGTGCAGGGGAATCATTCAAAGGACAAACTTAGGAAGTTTTAGAAAACCATTTTAGAGACATAAAGGAAAAAACTAAGCATAAGAAGGGAAAACACGAAATAGGTCAAGAACATATCTAATTAACAGAAGGGAAGAATGACAAATACCAATACACAGAACATCTATTTCATTTAATCAATAAACATCTCCATATAAAGGGAATACTAACAATAAGAATACAAAAATGTTCCCTGTACTAAGGGGTCTGAGATCTTCCCCGGTAGCTTAGCTGGTAAAGAATCCACCTGCAATGCAGGAAATCCCTGTTCCTGTGTCAGAAAGATTCTGTGGAGAAGGGATAGGCTACCCACTCCAGTATCTGTAGCTCAGATAGTAAAGAATGTGCCTGCAATGAGGGAGACCCGGGTTCTATCCCTGAGTTGAGAAGATCTCCTGCAGAAGGCAACAGCTAACCACTGCAGTATTCTGGCCTGGAGAATTCAATGGAGAGAGGAGCCTGACAGAGGTTACAGTCCATGGGGTCACATAGAGTTGGACATGACTAAGTGACTTTCACACACACTAAGGGGTTCACAGTACAGACAGAAGACGTAAACAAGCAGAATAATAAAATGGGCTAAGTGCTACAATAACATTATCCAGGAAAAACTGAAATAAAAAACAACGTAAAGGAAAAGATTTATGTAATACGCTAGAAAGAGGCGAATGGAGAAAACAAGAAATGACTATCCCTCCACAACAAACTTGTTTGGGAAAATAAAGGTGGAAGTACAAGGAAAGAGAAAGTAGAGAAGTAGAGGAACAAAGTGTAACTAGAACTATAATCCAAACTCTTATCCAAGGATAAGATGGGTGGAGTGTACACTTATTTATTTTTTTGGCAGGATGATCAACATAACATTTATAAAGGACCCCTGGACTAAAGAAGTACTCTTTAGTCCAATTCATACATAGGGCCCAGAATGAACTGAGAATGCCTTTAGAGAAAGTTGAACCAGTATCTGGTCACATCAAATGAAAATCTGACAGAATGTCCTACCAAAATCAAAATAGGGATGAGACAGATTGTGGAAATCTTCTAATTTATAATATAAGCAATTCTAGAAAAAGATTAATAATAAAAATTTGAAAGTAATAGGAATAGTATTCTTTTCCTTCATTTAAAAAAAAAAAAACCTTAAAGTACTATCTATTTTATTACTAACTCAAATGGATATATAGCACTAACAACCCTGTTATTTTTTCTTATTCTCCAAGATGATTAACTCATACCTTATGTATTGGCTCCTTAGATTTCCCTCTCAGCTATCTTTGCCTCATTATTTCATTGAGAAAACAGAAGCTACTAGGCAATAACTTCAGTCATCACAGAATAAGCATTTGTACTCGTCTTCTTTCTCTCTCCACTTCAACAGAAGGATGTCAAGTCCTGCTTTAGAAGGCCAATCCCACATTTAGATTCCCACATCCTGTCCCTTTTGTCTTCTCAAAGACTTTACAATATCTACCTCTCTTTCTTCTGTACCATTCTCCTCCACTGACATACAGAAACAGGTTACAGTTGTCTTATATCTGTTTTTAAAAAACCATCACTTGATTCAGCTTCCATTCCTCTTGTCTACTTCACTCCCTTAACAATACAGTGAAACTACTTCTGAGAGTTGACAACACATACCCTTCCCACTTTCTTCATTCTCTTTGAAAATTCTTAAAAAGTATTTCCTTTTTTCCCCCTTTTCCTGTATTAGTTATCATCATCATTATTTTGAATCTTCCCATGTCCCTAATTGTAGAAAAAGACCATTTTTTTTTTCATTTATTTTTATTAGTTGGAGACTAATTACTTTACAATATTTTAGTGATTTTTGCCATACATTGACATGAATCAGCCATGGATTTACATGTGTTCCCCATCCCGATCCCCCCTCCCGCCTCCCTCCCCATCCGATCCCTCTGGGTCTTCCCAGTGCGCCAGCCCTGAGCACTTGTCTCATGCATCCAACCTGGGCTGGTGGTCTGTTTCACCCTTGATAGTATACTTGTTTCAATGCTATTCTCTCAGAACATCCCACCCTTGCCTTCTCCCACAGAGCCCAAAAGTCTGTTCTGTACATCTGTGTCTTTTTTTCCATTTTGCATATAGGGTTATCATTACCATCTTTTTAAATTCCATATATATGCATTAGCATACTGTACTGGAGAAAAAGACCAGTTTGACAGTAAGTTGAGCAGTGCTGGAATTGATCATATTGTCCCACTTCCATCTTTTAACTTTAACACTTTAAGAAAAATAGTTTTTGTCAAAATCACTAATAACAAAATGTTATCTAATCCAATAAACATTTTTCTCTCATCTTAACCTGCCTCTCAGCAACATTCAGTACTGTTTAATATACCCATATCTTTCTCAAACACTTTCCTTCACTTGGTTTTCATGACATCAAACTTTCCTAGTTTCCTTCTATTTCAATGATCGTTTTCTAGTCATCACCTTCATTTATTTCACTTCTTCCAAACCTCTAAAAAATACCAGGACATTATTCTGGGCCACATTCTCTTCTTTTCTCTCTCTCTAGGTAATATCATCCATTCTCATGCTTTTATAAATCAACTTCAAAACATATTATCATGTGTCCTGAGCTCCTGACTGAACACACCCAACTGCCTGTATCTAATATCATTACCGCTTAGATATTCCTCATAAGAATCTTGAACTCAATGAGTATGAAACGGAAGAATGCTTTATTCACGTCATCAAAATCTATTCTTCCAGATCTTGCTAACAGACACAACCACCCACTAGTTGCTCAAACCAGATATCTGGGCATTGTGTAACTTTATCTCGCCCTTCCTTTAAAAATTTAATTCATTAGCAAAGCCAACAAATTATTCCTCCAGTGGAGATCTTGAATCTATTTTCTCTCTACTTGACTATCACCTACAACTGCACAGGCCACCATTATCTCTCACCTAGAAAAATGGAAGTCTTCATTTTTTTTTGCTTCTACTCTCACTTCTATGGAATTCGTTTTCCAAACAGATCCAAAGAAGTGTTTTAAAAGATAATTCAGTGTGCATACATCTTTAAACTGCTTCCCACTATTCTTAGAAAACAACCCAAACTCCTTATGAGGTCTACAAAACAATGACCAAGCCCCACTCAACCTTTCCAGTGCCCTACACTACTCTCTCCAGTCCTTGTTCATACCTCAGGAGCCTTCTGTAAGTTCCGAAAACATGCCTCATAGCTTCACACTTGTTATTTCTGCTACCTGAAGTATTTTTCCCTATATTCTTCACATTGTTAGGTCATTCTCATTCTTCAAAGTTTCAGCTTCAATATTATCATAAATAGGCTTTCTTAACATGGGGTCGTAAAGAGTTGGACACAACTGAGAGACTGAACTGAACTGAAGCTTCCTTCTTAAAGTAGACCCCTACATCTCTATCCATCCCAGTACAGTCTAAATCTGTTTGCTATTTCCTAAATGGTATTAACATCATCTATAATTATTTTGTTTACCACCTTTCTTCTCCATTATAATGTAAACCCCACCAGGGCAGAAAGAAAGTCTTATTTATTATATCTCCAGCACTTAGAGGTGCTTGATAAATAGGATGAATGAACAAACGAATGAGAAATTAACAAACAAATGAATAGATACTTATGCTGTTTGTGAACAAAATCAATAGGGCCTATTCCTGGAAAGCCTTAGATCTATAGTAAATAAATAAACATCTAGCATTAACTCTTTATACTTTGTCCAAGCAAGAAATTTTAAATAGGAGAACAAATCAGGGTCACTGCCACTTGTACTTTCAAATATACTAATGAGGCTAAGTAACACACATTTTTAGTTACAAATAAGCTAAAGAGAAAAACTAAGCCACAGATCAACTTTTACCTTGATTCAGATATAGGTTTGGATGCCTTTCTGCCTTTAATTTTAAATTCATGGGAGGTTCCTTCAGGTTCTTTCTCTGCTTTGAAAGCCACATTTGGTGGCACAGGAGGAACACGAATTCGCAACCCAAACAAATGCTTCTTCTTCTTTATTTCTTTCCCAGACATAAACCTAAATTTTTAAAAAAGTTAACTAAAAGTTTAAAACCTGAACACATATACATGGAAGACCCTCAGTCGTAAAACCCACGGAAGTCTACCCAATACCACCCCCATGCTTTTGTTTTCCCCTTTGCTTTCTTGGATCCCATCTGCCCCAGAGCCAGTCCACAGCAGGATATGACAGGGGAACAGGGAGAGAGGAATAGTATTAGAAGGGGAAACACATGTCCACTTTTCTTTTTAAAATGTAGCATCTAACTTTTTAAAGAAAGAAGAGTACAGTGGTGTCTTTTTTAGTCTCAATGTGCTTTTCCACATTTTTAGTCTTATCTATTACAAACACCTCAAAAAAGGCTTAGGAAAAAAAGAATTCTATTTCAGAGTGAATCGGTGAGGAGAGAAACCCTAGCCAGAAACAGGTAAGAGCATTGGAAAAGAAAGTACATCAATCCTAGAGGCCCAGAAAATAAAAGGAGTGTCTAGTATGTCAGATCTGGAATTGGAAATAACCTGGAGCAGAGGTGACATTTCTTGGGGGCTTGGGTTTCTGAAATATATGTTCTTTAATTCTTCCCCGAAGTCCTTAAAGAGTCTTTATTTTAAAATACCCTCTTAGCTCTACTAGAGCATGCCTGGCCTAAGAACCACTACCAAGTGCTTGGATTGCCATTCAACTTTTATATAAGTGTGAGAAAGGGGAGCTCCCATTTCTACCATAGCAGGAACAAAGGTATTTCTAGCACACTAAATTGGGATTACAGAATTCACTGTCCTATAAAGTATTTTTACCAGCACAGTAACTGCTCAGGTAACTTTATGGCTTTTTAAAGTTGTCCTAAAGATCTAACCACTTGTAATCATAACATTTTTTAATGAGGAAATGTTGCTAGGTTCAAAAAAAGCAACATGTTACAAACAAAAATGTAATTCAATAGCTGGTTGAAACCAGCATATACATTTTATTTCTATTGCCTTTTAAAAATATTTTAAAGAGATGTAGATATATGCTCCTTTAAAAAAAAAGGGGGAAAGATTTATATAAGAATATATCAAACAATGTCACTTAATTATCAAAAATTTAGATCACTAATACTACTACTATTCCTAAAGATGGCACTAACTAAACTTAAAATCATAGAAGACCTCAATCATTTAAAAACCTATCTTCTCTTTAATATATCCCCCTATCTTCTGCATATTCCTACCAGTTAATATGATTCTGTTTTACTTTCAGCAGATTAAATTATAAGAACAAGTCATTACTGGGTATGCTTTTTCAACTAAACTGACCAAACTCCCCTGAAATACTGATATGCCTCCCATCTACCATTTCCAGAGAACTGCTCCTCTCCTCTTCAACCTTTGAGAATTACTGGTTTACTCTGACTGAGAGAGGACATTAAAGGGTTTAAAATGGTATGTATTAACTCTACACCAATCCCACAATTCTTAATGCCATTATTCCTTACATTTACTAAATGCCCCCCTCATAGGGATACATAAAATAACTTACATGGTCTTGTAATCATTTAATGCCTCCAGAACATGCTCATATCTTTCAGATTTTGGTGTGTCTGCCAGCTGCGAAGTAGCAAAAAAACAATTTAGTGCACTGTAATTTCATCAATTAGTAATACAAGGTGATAGAGGCAATGTGATACAAAACAAAAGTTGACTGACTACTTGTCAGAAGATCAAAGTTCTAATTTCAGGTCCTCACTCACCAGCTTTGTGACTTAAGCCCATTTAGCCTCTCAAAGCTTGTTTTCTCACATATAAAAAAGAGAGTATAAATCCTTCACTAGTTTCTTTACTACTATCAATACTTGTATAGATAAAATGGTATGCCTAAAAGAACCATAAACTGTAAAAGACAATAAAAATGGGATTTTATTGTTTATCATTGAATTTACTTTAATTCTATAACCTGGGAAAGTAATAATACATTAAAATTACTTTAATATCAACCATAAAGCTTCTAATAGATATTAACAGTAAAGAATATAAAAAGTAATGATAAACATGCCATTTTATTTCCCAATACTTCTAACACAAACCAACAACCTCTGTAACTTTAAAAAAATAACAAATTGGGGATTTTATTTTCATACCAATTACAGACTTTGGTTAAGCCTAAAATCCAAAGTGACTTAGTATGTTTTTATCATCACACACCATTTTAAAATCTAAACATTCAATTCTGGAAAATACTCTATTTTGTTTCAAAAAAGTTTCTTTCAGAGTTATTTCTGCCTTTTCTTCAAAATTTAAAGACTAGGGCCCAATAGAAAAAAATTAAATTATAAAAGACTTTCTTCAATTAAAGCAATAAAAATTAAAACGAACAACAAAAAACCTTCCAAAATATCAATGTTGACTTTCAAAATTACTGCCAGTAATTTTATTTAGCAGCTAAAACTTACAAAGCTCAGAACTTCTTCAAGTAAAAAAAATAAATCTGTCAAATAGAACATGGTAGGTAGAAGAGACTTATACAGTCATCTACTTTTATTTTACCAATTAGTCAACAGCTATAAACCTAATTTGCCCAAATTCACACTGCTGGTTAGCTACAGAGATAGAACTTGAACCCAGGTGACAATTAAGTACATTCCTTCAACATTCACTGAGAGCCCATTGTGAGCCTGTATTGGGTACTTTAAGAGGAAAAGGAAAGAAAGTTAGTTTGGTGCTTGTTCTCCTTAACCATACCACACCTTCCTAATGTAATTTCTGAAGTGTCCAATGACAGAAATTTTCTATTAAAGGAGAAATAATGGACTCAGACTTTATAATCCAAAAGAGACCCGAGATGTCCACCTAATTCAAGTTTTCATTAATACTGTAAACCCTTTAATAGTACTCAAGAGTCATGCGACCTTGGTTTAACTAGTACCACAGATGAAATCTAATGAAGGAGCCCATTCCATGGATGAACAAAATGTTCCTTCCTGGATTCTCTTTTATACAAATATTACTTTTATACAAATATTTATACAAATATTACTTCAAATATTTGACAGTAGGTAAGAGGGCTAAGTATTAAGATTATGTTAATGTTTTTAGCAGCACCATCACATGATTATCTCACACTAAGCTTGGCTAAATAATTCCATCCTCTTCCTGGTCTACTTCCACCTTAACTCTAAAATTTCATTAAATGAACTGCCATCATGCCAAGTATCCCCCATCATACATTGTTCTTCCATACTGTTGTTTGTATATTTAAGCCTAAAAGAAAAAATTTATAACTACTGTTGATTTGATTTTGTTTTCAGCTCAGTGTTTGAGATGATCTTTTTTCCTGATTCTGTCATCTTTCTTGAACTGAAGATAGAGACAAAAACAGAACCCTGTGGCTCACCACTAGAATTTCCCTCAAGAACATTTCCAAGCCAATGACTGCTTTTGCTAATAACTCAATTACCTACAGATGCATTTAAATTTTATTTTAACCAGTTCACATTTCAATATCTTATGTAAAACTGAGTTATACTATGTCTACACTATGCACATTAGCACTTGATGTATCAGTGCTTCTAACCATATCAAAAAAGAAACCAAGGTATTTCACATGATTTATTCTAATAAACTAGTGGTATTTTTTCTAATTGCTTTTTAATTCTTCACAAGAAAAATCTGCTCTACAATTTTGCTGACATTCAACAACAAAAGTTCAGAATTTCTCAAATCTACTCCTTTTTACTTTTTGAAAATCACAACAAACTCTCTTTTTTCTTTTGGTACCGATTCTCTATGATTTCCTGGGCCTCCCTGGTGGCTCAGATGGTAAAGAATCGTGCTGCAATGCAGGGGACACAGGTTCAATCCCTGGGTGAGGAAGATCCCCTGGAAAAGGGAATGGCTACCCACTCCAATATTCTTGCCTAGAGAATTCAAATTTTATCTGTAAGTTCTTTCAGCACTCCAGGACTATTTCACATAGGACTGTTTATTTCAACTCGTATAATGCAGTCAAAGATTCCCTTACTGTATTTTGAAAACAGAGTTTGCAAATATTACACTGTTAATCAAATAATCTGTATTAGAAGAGCATCATATTCTAGTTCTTTCATCTGACCATGAGGTTTATTAATACATGAGGTTTATTAATCTTCAATAGAAGAATCATTTTTGCTCCTCCCTGTACTGACACTAATCTCACACTGTGATTTCACTTTCAGGGTTATATATTTCTCTACAGGGATACACGCTATTACATATCGTTAAAATTCTTCCCTTCAATAAAATACATGCTCGGTTACCACACTGAATTCCACGCCACCTAGGCTTAAGTATGTCAAACAGCTTAAGTAATTTGTTTACCAACATATACTCTGTATGCTAATATACAACTCAAGGCCCCAAGTACTGCTTTTAACCAGATTTCTTATAATTTTCCCTTAAAAGTATTATACCACCTCTACTATACTACATTTTTTCTCTAGCCAAAACATTGTTTCTGCCATAGTATTTCATTTTATCTATGCTTTTCTCTCTATCTTTCAAGTGAGGTAGCACTCAACCCACTGCTCTATCAACCTTTTAGGTATTTAAAACTTAAGACCACAGCTAACAAAAAAGTGGGCTGTCCTTATGAAACTGAAATTCCAAATCACATTGGGAAGTAAAGACAAACGATAAGAGGCAGATTTCAAAAAGTATTAATAACTCCTTGTAACTTTCAAAAGCAATCTGATATAACCTCATTCTAAACACTTCATTCTACGTAAAAATTTTAAGCAACTTTTATTTGGGGTGTCAAATTATATTACATATTTTTACTATCTCAAAATAAATAATTCAAAACACAGTAGTTTCTCAAATACTAGACTCAGTCTATACGATAATCATTAAGGTACCAACTCTCAAAGATGTTTACCAAGATCACGTAAGGAAATTATCACTGTGTTCTAACATGTTCTAAAAGTTTCAGCTTCTCTTCATAGCAATCCTGAAAATAATCAAGAAAGAAGAGAATACATAATATATGTTAAACTTACCTATCGGTATGAAAGGATATACAGTTGACCTCTGAACAACTGAGTTTGAACTGCATGGGTCAACTTATGTATGGATTTTTCCCCCCACTAAATACATACAATATTACACTGCGGACAGTTGAATCTGCAGGTGCAGAACTGCAGACGGGGCAGGCCAGCTCTAAGATGTATGTGATTTTTGAGGGCAGAGAGGGTCAGTACCCCAACTCCGTGTACTTCAACAGTCGACTGTACTCTCTAAAATAGACTCTCTAAAATTCTAGCGTAAACATCTTTGTCATATAGTCTACAGCACATAAAATAAGAACTGATGTTCAAAATGACTTGAGTATTCTAAGGTACTTAAATAACCAATATAAGCATACTTCCTTTCATTGTATCTCACTTTACATCACAGATCCTATGATTTTTACAAAGTGAAGGTTTGTAGTAACACTGCCTCAAGCAAGACTGTCAGCACCATCCTGCAACAGCATTACTTTTAAAAAATTTTTCTGATGTGGACGTTTATTTTAAGTCTTTATATCTTTACTGAATTTGTTACAATACTGCTCCTGCTTTGTATTTTCGGTTTTTGGCCAGGAGGCATATGGGATCTCAGCTCCCCAACCAGGGATCAAACCCACATCCCTGTATTAGAGGGTGAAGTCTTACCACTGGATCACCAGGGAAGTCCCGGTTTTTAAATTAAGGTATGTACATTGCCTTTGTTAAACACAATGCTATTGCACACAGAGACTACAGTGTAGTACAAGCATAACTTTTATATGCACTAGGAAATCAAAAATTTGTGATTTGCTTTATAACGTATTAGTTTTGTTGCAGTGGCCTGAAATTGAAACCATATTATCTCCGAGGTGTACCTGTAATATACTTAGATGTGGTGATTCACATGTTTTGAAAGTACAGTTGGCCCTCAGTATCCTTTGGTTCCAACCATGGAAAATCAACCAGATACGAAGGGCCAACTCTACTACATCATTTGGGATAACTATAATTAATGTTATTTTATAAAAAGATTTTTAATACAAATATAAACAAAAAGAAAATTTTATTAACCTAATTTTGAGTTAATAACAAAACTCAATTTGCAATTCAGTTTGTTAGCCAAAGATTTACTACTTTAATAGTTAGGAATAATACATTGTCTGTATTATCTTTGCTTCTTTTACCACAAACATTTAAAAGTAAACTAAATGAAAATCAATGAACAAATATTACTTAAAAATTTTATGGTCTCTTTATCATTAAAACTTCACTCTAAAAACTAATTACAATATTAAGATGTAAAGTATTAATACAGAGAATTAAAACCTGAACTTCCATCTATAAGTAACTAGAGAATGGGATGACTAACCTACTAAATCTGAATATATTTTTTTTAATGTGGAGAAAGAGCAATGAGTAATGCTCTGATAATAAATCTGATGGCTCCCCAAATTGGGAACACTCCTTAGAAAAGTAAAACATTTGTTATAAAGTTATATTTGATTGTAATCATGTTATTCTTAATTTTTAAATAAAGATATATTTTTCCATTTGGGGCAAAGAATAAGAAATTGAAATTTCTTACATGTAAGAAATAAGGTTCAAAACCTATTGCTGAAATAAATGTTTTCTGATATACAGCAGAAGTTCAGCTGGAAATGAGACAGCTAGAATTCATAAATTGAACTCATTTCTTTAAAAACAGCCTTTAGTTTTTATTACTTTCTATTTTCAGCTTCTTCAATAAATCTAAGTTATATTTTTATTTTAATAAACAATGATAGCATTTGAAATAAACAACTTGAATTTTTACATGCATGCCCACTATCTACATGAAGTAACCAATGCAGACTTTAATCATGTAAAACATAGGTGTACTAACAGAAATATAGATGCATCTGCATATGAAGTGCTAAAAGAATCACTGCTAGGAAGAAAGTATTTCAAATTAATGTATGAGAACATTAAATATTTAGATGACTATAAAGAACAATATACTTAATAGTGCCTTACATTTTCTTCTCCCATTAATCAGTTTATTAAAATTTATCATATTTACAAGTCACTCACTTTCTCTCCAGTCATCTAAAAGAAGCTTCTAATAGAAAACTTAATGAGAATATTATATTCTAATTTCTAACACTCAAAAATCTTAGCTCAATTGATTTTAGTATCATTGATTTCAAAATCTAAGTATTTCATAGGTGTTTATTTTATACAACTGACCTACTACTTTTAATAAATGTGTACTGTGCACTCCCTGATGCCTCATAAAACCCCCAGAACAACAACAGAAACTTGATACTTTATTTGATGTGAGCCTTATAAATTGCCTCATGTCTAAAAGCTACAAATGCAGAAATTCTTCCTAAATTTCATTAGTTTAGTTTTTGCCTCAAAAAGTAACACATGACTAAAATTCACACATCTATTCCAAATATTACAGGGCAAAAAATTTAGTTAGTATCTGTATTTTAACATTTAATATCTGTATTTTAATAATTATAAATAAATCTTTAAAAAGGTAAATATTAAAGTTACTCTAATTACTTTCTTCTTTGTGCAGTTCAGTAGTTTCAAAATCTTCAATGAACATGCATTACTTTTATATTGCCTTTTGTTTAAAAAAAAACTCTTCACAAAGAGCATGAGTGGTTACATTTTGCATATGAAAAGCAAAATGAGATGTCAGAATGAGAGGGATAATCCTCAATTCAGGTAACTTCATTCTCTTATTATTCTAACATTATTACTAGGTTCCACTATTCCTGAAAGCCAAAGATATAAAAGGGAGTACCAAAAAGAGAGAAAAGAAGAATATTGATTACATCTCTAAGTTTATAGTAAACTTAGAAGAAAAGGAGGAGGAACCATAGGATACCCAGTAATAAGGATTTCTCCCTCCCTTCGATCTTCAGCTACAGCAATTCTCACCTCAGAAAATGGAAGAATTAAGTAATTTATTTCCTCTTATATTTTTTCTCAAGTCAACAGGCAACAAACAGGAGAATGAGGGCTCATCCTGATAGCCTCACCAAAGTTATTTCTCCCTATCTAAAAATACAATGCTACTTTAGATGTATGGCTTGAACATGTGCCTTAGCTGCTTTCAACAAAAACAAAAAAGACTTTAAGTAGCTAATGATGTTAGCTCTGAGACCACCTACCTCTCCAGGGTGCAATCTATCCCAGTTTTCATTAATGTATGTCATAAGCTCAAGTTCAGAATCAAAGTATTTCTTCTTGTGAATAACACTTAGGTTGTAAAGGCATAGGTGTGCTATATCTACCCTGGAATCCAAAAATAATCAAATCATATGAAAATAATGTTTTAGTTATTTTAAAATCACACATTATTATAATAAAACCAGCTATTAAAAAAATCCAAAGTATTTAGGTGAACGAACAGATGGTTAATATCATGTCATATTCACAATAAATCATTATATATGAAAATAAATGAAAAACATTAATTTATCCTGAATAATATCTAAAATTTAAGATATGTGATTTCTTAAAAGAGAATCTGATGTTTAACAGTAATTTATGATCTAAAATTTCATGTTTTCACTCTTACATAAGCTACAAAATGGATCACATTTTAACAGATTTTATCTGATTAATTAAATCCTATCTTTTCCTAAAATATGTAAAACATTTAACGAAAATTTCTAAGTACTTACTATAAGGATTTTCAGTAAATCTCCAAAATTCATCATACTTCCCACGCCCAAGGATTACTTAACTGAGGCAGAAACTGGCATATTATAAGACCTTTCTCTCTTCTACTGTATTCTGAAGGCCCAAAAGAACTAGAAACATGAATAAGAATTTTGAAGATCTAAAAGATATTTCAAAGTTACTTTTTATGCCATAGAAACTGAATGGCCTTATTACGTTAGCAATAAAACTAGATAACCTTTGGGAAAGATAACATCAGGCTTGAGGATAAATAAAGGAAAAGAAAGAAAGTCAGGCATAAAGAAGAACAAATTTTTATTTAAGCTAAGTAAATGTATATAGAAAAGTTTCATCCTATAGATTTAAAACACAATTCTTCTTTTGCTCCTTAATAAAAAGGTCCATACGTACCATTGTAATGGTAGACGTTTGAGGTATTCTGGTCCAGAACTGCAGACAGAGCAAATAAATGTATAAAACCTAAAGAAAAAGAAAGTTGTAACTGAGCAAGCAAGAGTGCATACAATTTAACAATTAAAATTAACATTCACCACATATCCTACAATTGACATAAGGACTAATACACAAAGCAAAATATAATCTGAATCATGACAACTGTAAGAATTTCTTCTCTAGTAATGACAAGTTATGAAACAGTTTGTATATGGGGGGCAGGATCAATTGTTTTTAACCATTAGAGACCTTCAGAATTCATATACAGATTCATATAAGTATAGCTTACTAATGACGTGTTTGTACTGGGAATTGTGATGGCTGCTCTCATATGCTGTAGTCACTGTTACTTTTACATGTCCAAAACAATCTGGTAAAATAAGACCAGAAGACAAGCTGATTTTGCTAAGGTCAGAAAAACAATAAACTGCATAAGCTAAGATTTAAACCTAGAGTTTTTGATGTTACATTGAGTGCTTTATATGTAACTTTTCTTCCTAGAGCCCTATTTCACATTCTCTTAATCAAAAAGGACATCTAGTCAGCCTTCTGACATTCTTTAGATCTAAGATATAAACTGTGTGCATCAAGGTTCTGTGGCCTTTTCCAGTTGCCTGTCATGAGACCTATTTGAGCTTCTTTTAAAAAGGTATCAATGAGAATAATACAGAGTACTGTGGGACAATAGGTACCAATATAATCACTGGTCAAATACTTTAAAAGCTTTCTGTAATAATACCCAAAAGCACAAAAATTACATTTTTTAACAATTATGTATAATTTAAGCATATTAAACAATATTTTCCCCTAAGCTGAACCTTTTCTGAATCTTTAGAAATGTGAAAAGGCAAACAGACACACAATTTTTAAAAGCTTAAAAAAAAAAAGCCATAAATGAGTCAATAAAGCTCAAATGCCCTTCTCTCACCTGTCTCCAAATAGCATTGGCTTTTGAAGGCATTGCACACAAGCTTCATGAAACCACTGTTTACATTTGCAGCACTGTAGCATCTTTAAATACCAGCTATACAAAAAAATTTAAGATTAAAATTACTACCTTTTACGAGGTAAAGGTTAAAAAAAACCACAACAAAAGTGACGTGCTGAATATAGTTCTGATTATAGCATCATAGTTCTGATATTAGTGTTAAATTTTTTCCTTCTCAAAAAGCTTATTAATATTGACCACGTCTTCCCTTCTCTCTTTTTATTCTTGAGAATTTATAAGCTCTTGAAAGCTACATCTACTATTTCTAATTAACAAGAGTGTGTGTGTGTGTGTACACACACGCATGCACACACTCAGTTACTCAGTAGTGTCTGAATCTTTGCGACCCCATGAACTGTAGCCCACGAGGTTCCTCTGTCCATGGAAATTTTCCAGGCAAGAATACTGGAGTGGGTTAATATTTCCTACTCCAGGGGATCTTCCCAACCCCAGGATCAAACCCATGTCTCTTAGTCTCCTGCATTCACAGGCGGATTCTTTGCCACTGCACCAGTTGGGAAATGTGGGTCCTAAATTAGTAAAGGATCTTTGTCAAGTCTGCGATTTTTTTTTTTCACATCAACAGTCTCAGAGGTCACCAATATGTAGAGCTATTTTGTCCTATATTCCAAATGGCCATAGGCAACTTTATTCCTCACTGTGTTTCTACTATTCTTGTTCATTATAATGCAAAGAAGTATAGCAATTTAATAAATTTGATTAACATAATTACAAACCTAATCTAAGACTCCACCTGTATAAAGGCTCTGTGACAGATTTTGTCCTCTTTCAGATAGCTGAACATACTAAAACTGAATCTTCAGCTAAAGGTACGTCTCTAGTTAGTACATATTATATTTAATATATAAATATCCTTATCTGCCACCAAATTAATACCTTTTCTTCAAATAATTCTTTTGCTCACTAAGTGAGCCCCACCATTAATCTTAAGCCATATAAAAGGCAAGACAACTACTAGTAAGGCAAAAGACTAATGAATACTATTTCCCAGGTACTGTTAGGTGTTAAAGTGTTAGCAATATCAAACACAGTTCATGTAGTCAAGGTATTAAAGAACAATGAATAATCTGCTTCATAAAATAATGTCTATAAACTTCCCTGGTGGCTCAGAGGATAAAGCGTCGGCCTGCAATGCAGGAGACCTAGGTTTGATCCCTGTGCCAGGAAGATCCCCTGGAGAAGGAAATGGCAACCCATTAGGGTACTCTTGCCTGGAAAATCCCATGGATGGAGAAGCCTGGTAGGCTACAGTTATGGGGTCGCAAAGAGTCAGACATAACTGAGCAACTTCACTTTCAAAACACTAGGTATAAATGATTAAAGGAGAAAGATCCATCTCTTTTCACTGTATCTCTTTTATAAATGATTTAAAGAAACCAGACATAATGTTTCTCAAATCTGCAGGAGACCAAACACTGAAAATTATTATAAAAATGTTAAACCACAAATAAAAATTCCATAAGATCAGAGACAGGTAGAATGAAGAAATAAAAATAATTTATATATTCATTTATTCATGTTTTCAGCACTGAACAACTTATATGTCCCTGCATCCTCTAGAGAGCACCTCTGTCTTAAGAAACACGGAATCCAGTAAGATTTAAGAAACCAATAATTATAATTTAAATAGAGTTAAATGTAAAGTTATTGACTAACATTTTTTAAGTGTAGCACAAATATATGGTACACAATTTGGCTTAAGATCAGTTTATATGAAAAAAAGAACTGTAAGTTTTAGTCAACCACCAACAAACCCAGAATGAGCCAAAAGAATATGATGGGACATATTCAACCAAAGAGAGGTAACACAATCTTTCCTTGCAATAACAGAAGCATAATACCTAGAACTTTTAACAGCCTCATTATATTGTTAGACTGTTCCTGGAAACACTGCATTTTGAAATCATGGCACCACATTTCAAAAGTAAACTTTCAAAAACCGAAGAGCAACAAAGATAGAGTTTGGAAAACACATCTGTCATAAAGAATGTTTGATGTGAATGGAGATTTTAGCCTAGATGAGAGGATACTTGGTATGTCACTCAGAGAGTAGGAAATATGATTATTGGATTTAACTATTTTAAGAGCTACCTCTACAAAAAATAAGATACATGGGTTTAGTTTCAAAGAGCAGAACTAGAACCAGTGATCAGAAATTAAAGGTAAATTTCTAAACATTCTTAGACCTGTTTGCTGACTCGCTTATTCAGCTAACATTTCATGATAGATAAATAAAACTACGGCCTCTAATCCTCTCCAATTTTTTTTACTGATACTTTCATGCATTTACAACTCACTATCACTCCGATACCACAATCAGTAACAAAAATAAAGTTGACAATATGAGCAATTAAAAACTAAGGGCATTAAATAACCATGTGCACTTACTCTCCAGGGCCTCCACAGTAGCAGTAACACTGCTGGACGTTGGTTTTATGACCTGCATCCCATTCAAGGTCTGCCACACTGTAGGGTAATGTCTGCTTCATGACTTGCAATGCTTTGGCATTTGGTCCTTTCTTAAGCGCACCACCCCTCTATATTAGAGGGAAAAAGTTATTTAAAAGAGTGAAGGATAAATTTTTAAATATTAATTCTCTAATTTTAAAATGCTTCTGAAACTTCCAAAGAAATTTTCATTCTAAATTTCTTACCATATCACAAACTGTTTGACCAATAATAATCTATATTTATTTTGTTGTCTTTTCTTTCAAATTATTGCCCCAATTCCAAGACCACTATCAGAATATAAGTGCAAGAAGAGTTGCAAGTCACTTAAGCATCATTAGTCAAACAATAAGCAGTACCTCTTTCTACCCAGCACTGACTGCTCATTTCATTCAGATAAACTTTCAACGTAAACAATCATTACGTTGATAGTGCCTTACAAATTCCATTTAGGGCATTAGCCCAAAACACTTAAAAGATACCTTTGTTGTTGTTGCAAAAACACACTGTCGACAGAGCCATTTTTCATCTGAATCAATCACACTGGAATCAATATGAGGTGTGTGACACAACTGATGATACCCTTAATATCAAAAAAAGCATAAAGCAAATTCTATTTTATTAATAAATACTGCAACACAATTTAAAGAAGGCATTTTAGTATTCTCTTTCCTACATTAATATTTATAACTGATGACTAAACTTATGGTAAGAGCTTCAAATTACCAATGTAAAGAATTTTTAATCATTAATCATCAACAGGGGCATTAAGTATATAACAAAACGTTTCCACAGGATTAAAACAAATCAATGCTTACCTTGGCCACACTTATCACATATAACCATTTCATTGGGAGCTTCTGAATACTCTTCTTGACATATTGTACAGACCATTTCCCCACTTCCAGTGGCTCCTGAAATATTTAAAATACACATAAAGAATTGTTCCATATAACAAAACTACTTTTTTGACTCAGGGAGCAGCCCATGCTGGCAACATCTGTTTCCCAGATCATAATGGTATTTTCTCAAGGCAAAGTACTGTACACAAAACACTATCTCTCTGCTCCCTACCTGTGTTCTCACCTTTAACTGAAGATGCCTTACTATTTGCCTTCACAATTTAATCTGCCTTTTGGCAAAGGGCATAATTTAAAATGCTCTCAGGCAGGATCCCTTACCATTTACTTCCAGTGTTTCCACCATCCTGGGAGGTGGGGAAAGCCAATGTTTTTGAACACTAGAACTCTCCAGAACACACACCTACCCATGTACATGTACTCACTCACCCTACACTGCCTAACATCATGAGACTAAAGAAAAGGGGCAAGAAGATCCATCAATGACTCCTTACTCTCAGGTTCTAGAACATTTATTTTTACTTACTAATTTACAAAAAGGAAAGGCTGAACACTAATTATCAGATCTCCAGCTTCTGAAATACGGAAACATGGTGTCAATGTACCGTAAACAATACCACACTGCAACAAAAATGAGGGACTACACTGTTAATTTTTTACCTGAATAAATTATTTCTTCCTTAAACATTTATATTCGAAAACAATTTTATTCCACAAAATTTAGAATTTCATTACTTTTAACACAATTATTTATAATAATCTCAATTTCAATATACATAAAATATTAATACACACATATTTTCTTCACATACCAACAATAATAAAAATGTGTAATTTTGTGCTATGAGCCAGCACTGTGTTAGGCTCTTAACAATATTATTTTGTTTAATTCTACAATTTATTAGATAAATATCCTATTTATAGAGAAGAACTAAGACTCAGAAAGACAAAGGAACCATATAGTTCAAGGACCCTTAATCACAAAGTATCAAGGGTAGAATTTAAACTCAGATACACCATATTCTCTCCACTATGAAGTGCTTCTTTTCATTAATACTATATGTAATGTTTCTTCCATCAAAAGAATTTTTCACACTGTAGGTTTCAAAGAGTATAACTTTTTTTTTTTTAATTTGGCTGCAGGATCTTAGTTGTGGATTCTAGTGGATTGAACCCAGGCTCCCAGCATTCGGAGCAGGGACTCTTAACCATTGGACCACCAGGAAAGTCTCTCGAAAGTCTAACTTCTAATAATTGTATGATATTCTTTCCAGTAGAAATAACCAAATTTACTTTTTTATGACTATTCTTAGATATGCAGGTTACCAAATTTTTTGCTTGTTTTTTACAGTTTTCCATTTTTGTTTTGGCTCTTGTCCTCTCTCCTCTCCTCTCAGGCTCTGTTCACATAGCTGGATGTGGCTTCCCAGTTTCTCAGTTTATAACTCCAGTCAGGATAGCAACCAGACTGCACCTAGAACCTCTCAGTCCAAATCTGCAACTTCCTGGAAAAGGAGCAATAGGCCCAGATTGCAGTAGGTGCCTGATCTCTCATTATAACCATGTAGACAGGTGTAGGGGAAGGCAGTTCCTCAGAAAAGAGGGTGCTGATCCAAAAGATGTACGTGTTCACCTCAAGAAAACAATCCTGAGGAAGCAGAGAATTGCCTTTAGTTGTGGAATCCAGTATGTCTTTTTTATCATCAAGTTTACAAAAACTTTCTATGTAGCTTATCAGCCTTCTTAGTCTCCCTTACTCTAAGCCCAATTGACTATAAAGCCATTTCATCTTAGATGTGCCCAATTTTTTGTTGTTGTTAAAGCTACAGGAAACATTTTTCATCTGGATTTTTTACTTCTGAATTATTTCTTTTGAATAAACTGCTAGAAATGAATCTGTTGTATAGATGAAAACATGGAAAACATTTTTATGCATTTAACGCAAATATCCAAAATAGAAATTTAATATTGCTACCAGCAGCGTATCATTTTCACAGAAACCAAAACAAATAGTTATTAAGATCAAAATCCTTTTAAAATTATTTAATGGTTTTAACATGGTATCTGTTGTAATGCACATTTCTTTGATTACTAATATGACCATACATTGCTTTTATTTATGTACACTTTCTAAAAGAATCTTATTAGATGAGTGAAACTACTATAATTTATTAAGTCATTTTGATATATAACTACTATATGCAGGATTCTTACAGGAAGAAAACTATTAAAGCTACACTCCACACTGGCATCTGCCATAATGCAATTTCCAGGTTCACTTACTCACTCTATAGCAACTCCATATGTGTGCTACTTTCCAGGTGTTAGAATTAAACGGCCCAAGAGCTTTCTAAGAATAGTAAAAGGAGCCAGCAAGGAAAAGACAATCACAGGTCACTCAACTGACATAGGAGTATGCCACATGTAGGACATGACCCCCTCACTTCCACGACAACTTTCTACCTCTATGTACAACTGGTTTTCTTCTTCCTTTATGGAAGGAAGGATGAGAGAGAAGGAAGAAAGAGAAAGACCTTTATATTTAACTCACAGGAACCTCAAAAAGGTGGAAAAGTTGAAAGGGACACATAGCTAATAGAGGGGGGAACAGAATCAGTATTACATGTTTCAGTTCCACCAGAAGGATCCATATTTACAAACTAAGGAAAGGGGGATAATTCTGTATGCAGGCTAATAAGAGCTATTCAGTATCACTACTAGTGGAGACATCCTATGCTCCTCCTATTCCTTTTCTCACTGACTCCTCAATTTGAGATTCAAAACATCATTTAGTCCTTTAAATTGATCAGCCCTAAAAACTGTAAAAAAAATTCTCTAGAAAAACATTTTACTAAAGTTAACAGCTATTGAACTCTCCATCTAATTCCTAAGTACCATGTATAAAAATGGCAACTAGAACATTCCAATTCCATTACCAAAACTTTATTTTTTAAAAAAAATTAAGAGTGAAATCAAGAATATGAACACAGCAGTAACCTACCATAAAGTCACACCTCAGACTCAAATTAAAAACCCAGTTGACAAATACTTGAAAGAATTTGTCTCCCTTCTACATAGGAGATATATCTAAGTGCAGACCCATTAACAAATTACAAGGATACCAAAACCAGGGCTTTAGTTTGCAGCTAAAGTACTCGCACTTTTAATATTTCATATATATATTATATATATATTCATAATAGAGCACTTTCATGAAACAGATACCTGGGAAAATGCCTTTATTTAACAGATTTAAAGGGCATACAACAATTATAGTTTGCAAAAATAAAAAGCATTACAAGAAACATACCTATAAGCAAACCAAAGCATACCTGTATTCATTTCTACTTGTATCCAAATATAACCTAGTTTACTCATCTAAATATAAAAACTCACAGCTAAGCAGTAATTTTAAATTACTGCTTAACTATGAGTATTTCTAGTATTCTAAAGCTATTTAATATATCCTAATCCCCCAAAACATCTAGCAAATAGTATGCTTTCAATAAATATTAGCTCTCTACATAACTTCTTACTAATACAGGCAAGTAACAGTTAAGGTGAAGCCCAAAGTATTACTCATATTAACGGCTAAAATTTTTCTTCAGAGTTCTTAGAAAGGCCCTAGCAGTAATTTCTATATGTGCATCTGTCCTCTAATCTACTCTTATCAACAGAGGAATTCTTGATCTTCTTATCATCTATAACACAGATAACTCCTTGAAGACTCTGAATACCACCCTGAATTTTTTTTTAAGTTATCTTAATACACTGTACTAAAGAGACAACATTAGAAAATGACAAGCTTAAGAAAATAAAATTTTAGTGTATATCATGTCCAGGGGAAATAGTAGCACCTGCCTGTTTGAATGTCCTTCCAGAGAACCCAGGATTTAGAACTGTCTTCAAATATGATGAAGCAGCTCTGTTTCAATATGTTTATCTGGAAAAGAGGAAAACTTACAGTGATTTCTTTTAAAATCAAAAACAATCTTAAATTTAAATTCAAGATTATTAGAAGTTTACTGCAAAAACAGCAAAAATATGTATTAATGTAACTTGCCTTTTTGATAGTTCCAAGATAAAACAAGCCATCTGACCATCTAGCTAGGACATCCTGACCCTCTTCAAATTTACATGCTGGCTTTTTGACTTTATGTCCATCCTGTAAAGACAGCTTGGTCAAGGATGTTGGGGTCTTTTGGTTTCGACGTAAAGGAGACCGCTTGTGGACCAGTGAATTACCTGCCCCTGTAGAGTCTCTGTTTAGGAAATAAATAATCACATATAAGATTGATTTACTTATAAAGCTTACTTTATACCAATCATGTATTTATCAAAATGTTTTATCTATTAAAAGCCTTATAATCAGGGAAAATAATAACAAGTACCTCAAATCATAAAAACTCTCCAGAAACAAAGAAGCTTAAAACAAAATTATAGCAGTTGTCAATATTCATTGTCAATCCAAGGGAGGCCAGGATTCAGCAACCACTCCAAGGTAACACATTCAGGAAAGCTATCATCAAAATGACAGCTATAAGTTGAAGTTGGTAGGCCATGGTTATGAACAAAGGATGCCTTGAATCTCATATGTAGGTTTTTTTTAAGTACGTATGTATGTATTTATTTGGCTGCACCAGGTCTTAGTTGCAGCATACAGGATCTGGGATCTTTAGCTGCAGAATGCAAACTCCTAGTTGAGGCATGTGGTATCCAGCTCCTTGAACAGGAAGGGAACCCAATTCCCTGTATTGGAAGTGCAGAGTCTTAGCCACTGGACCACCAGGGAAGTCCCTCATATCTCTTTATATAAAATAAAAGAAGCTGCATGACATAATTTCATAAGCACTTGATAAAGAATGATTATGTCCACTACTACATATATGATAAACAACAAGGATCTATTACATAGCACAGGGAATGATATTTAATATCTTGAAATAACCAATGGGCAAGAATTTTAAAACGAATATATATATAGGGATTGCCCTGGATGTCCAGGGGTTAAGACTCAGCACTCCCAATTCAGGAGGCACAGGTTTGATCCCTAGTCAGGGAACTAAGATCCCACATGCCGCCCAGCCAAAAGAAAGAAGGGGGAAAAAAAAAAAAGGAATACATATACACACACATATCATATATATATATGTACACATATATATGTATAACTGACAGAGAAGGCAATGGCAACCCACTCCAGTACTCTTGCCTGGGAAATTCCATGGACGGAGAAGCCTGGAAGGCTATAGCCCATGGGGTCGCAAAGAGTCGGACATGACTGAGCGACTTCAATTTTCACTTTCATGCACTGGAGAAGGAAATGGCAACCCACTCCAGTATTCTTGCCTGGAGAATCCCAGGGACAGGGATTCTGTCATCTATGCTGTCTATGGGGTCACACAGACTTGGACACGACTGAAGTGACTTAGCAGCAGCAGCATGTATAACTGAACCACTTTGCTGTACACCTGCAATACTGTAAATCAACTATACTTCAACTGAAAAAAAGCTTATGCCACATGTAGTTAAAATACACTAACCAGTGACTCTGGGTAGTTGGGTATATTTAACTCATTGGAAGGGTAGTCATGACCTCCATACAGGTATCACTACTGAATGAAGCCTTGTTCACGGATAGGAATGCATCACAATCCCTCAAATATACTGACTTCTAGAAGTTTAAAAAAATACTGAGAGCCACCAATTTTTACAAAATCATATTCAACTGAAAAGCCAATTGTAAGATCACTTACATTTTTTAAGCATAAGACCCCAAAATTATATACTCCAAAATCACATTGTTACATTTATCAATTACTGCATAAACAGCACAGCATACCACTATCAGCCTTCATAAAGAAAACCAAGCAATATTTGCTTGGACTCATCCTTCCAATTTAGACTTTCAACTAATTAAAAGTACAATATGTAAAACCAGGTAGGTGATCATTCTAAAACAGTATAAAAGTTAGGTAAAAAATGAAGTAAGTAGGGAAGAAAAAAAAATGTTTCCAATTGGGAATATCTATTTTCAATACCTAAGGATACACAAATTCTGGGAAATTCTGTCACAAACCACAACATGAATAAACCCTGAAAACATTATGATGAAGTAAAATCAGGCAGACAAAAAAGACAAATAATGTATAATTCCACTCACATGAGGTAATTAGAATAGTCAAACTGATAGAAAAAGAGAGTAGAATGGTTAAGTTCCAGGGGTGTGGATGAGGGAGGTGTGAGAAGTTAGTGTTTGTATACCAGTGGCTGATTCATGTTGATGCATGGCAGAAACCAACACAATATTGTAAAGCAATTATCCTCCAATAAAAATTTTTAAAAACTAAATAAAGGGTATGGAGTTTCAGTTTTAAAGATACACAACATTCTAAAAATATCCAAAGGAATAGTGACTAATAGTCCACATTTGCTAAAAAACATTAATCTACCTAACCAAGAAGCTAAACAAACTCCAAGCAGTATAAATTCAAAGAGATCTACATCTAGACAAAACACAGTAAAAATGCTGAAACCCAAAGAAAATGTTGAAAGCAGGAAGAAAAATAATTCTTCACATACAAAGAAACCCCAGAAAGCTAACTTCTCATCAGAAACAGTGAAGGCCAGAAGGCAGTGAAATAGCATATTCAAAGAACTGAAAGGGAGGGGAAAAAACTGTCAATCAAGAATCTTATATACAGCAAAACTGTGCTTTCAAAAATGAAGGTGGAAAAAAGATACTTCCAGATAAACAAAAATTGAGAGAATTTGTTGCTAGCAGAGTTACCTTAAAAGTAATAAAGTTCATAGGGTTGAAATTAAGTAAACCAAGGTAGAAATTCAAACATGCACATATGTACACACACACAAAATAAAAAAACAAAGAACACTAGGAAAGGTAATTAAGTAATCATAAAAGGCAGTATAAATGCATATTTACTCTAAAGCAAACATATGGAACAATATGTACATAACTCTATTGTTAGGGCTATGACATACAGGAATGTAATATATTTGACAATAACTGCACAAAAGGTGGTGGGAACAAAACTGTATAAGTAACAACACCATACAGTAGCTCCAACCCATAGGGACAAAGCAAGAAAATAAAAAATGGTAAGTAAATACAAATGAAAAGAATATGTCAAGAAAGTATCTACCATGTAACTCAAGCAAGTCCCTGTTTCAAGTAAAAATCATGAAAAAGCTACTAGTTCAACCAGCAATTCAAACAATGGCATAAATATCTTACCTGGACTTCCTATTCTGTCATACATAATATTAAAAACCTGAACTCAAGATTAAGTGAAAATAATGTTTCATCAAGAATGTTCCCTGGTAGTACAGTGGTTAAGAATCTGCCCACCAAAGCAGGGGACAGAGGTTAGATCCCTGGTCCAGGAAGATTCCACATGCCTTGGGGCAACTAATCCCATTTGCCACAACTACTGAACCCATAAGCCCTAGAGTCCATGCTTCACAAGAGAAGCCACCACAATGAGAAGCTTGTACGTGACAACCATAGTAGCCCCCACTCACAGCAACTAGACAAAGCCCACACACAGCCACAAAGACCTAGCACACCCAAAAATAAGTAAAATTTTTAAAAAAGAATGTTCTTAAGTGCAATAGGGTTTTCTGTGTGTGTGTACAGTGTTTTTGTTTAACTGTGAGTGCTCAAAAATAAGAAATACTAGCACACATTGGTGCCTTGTTTCATGCTAAGGCGTAACTAGTTTGACCAAACACTGGTTTTACACAATCATATAAATGTCAATACAGTGGGAAAAGCAAGTAACATATTAGTATTATCATGAAAACCGTTAAGACCTTGCAGACCACCTGAAAAGACCCATGGATCACATTTTAAGAGTCATGCTCTAAAAATTTATATCACCATGTACTGTTGTCAGGTCAGCATCAGCTGAAGAAAAAACTCTTCAATACTATAATTAGATGATTTACAAGACTTAAAAGCCTGACAAGATGAGAGAAGTAAAAATGGAAAATGAGTCACTATAATAAATTTTATCAGCAGGAAAGCTCCATGTCAGGCTGAGAGTTTTCTCTCTACAGACAGTGAAACAATATCTTCAAATCACAGTATGAAAGTGACTCTATTAGCAAGCAACTTTCTAGAAAGCTATAAATTCAATGGTCACTTTGCTTCCCTTAAAGAAACTAAAGCCTGAGCAACATAATTAATTATGTGTGAGAAATAACCTCATCAGAATGCCAGGGTGACTACAAGGACCTAGAATCTTCCAATTCTAGAGTGGAATATGTACAAACTCGCAACTGCAAACATTCCCAGATAGTTTCATATGCTCTGCCATTGCTTCAACAAATTCTCCCCCTTTTTAATCTTTGATGACAAGGTCTGTTCCCATCTTACTCTCCACTATATTACTCCTACTACACAATAAGCCCTTAGATCATAAGAAATAAACCACTAAAAATTTTTTTCTACTTCTAGTGTTTCCACCTTGATTCTACTAATACTTCTGGCACATCGTATGTTAACACTCCATAATCTAGTAACAGTTGCCCTTGATTCCTTATGTCTCACTCCCACTATAACCTTTTTCCTTTCCATTCACAGCCAAACTCCTGGGGAAAAGTCACTTGAGTGACTACTACGTGCTCAACCATACATTAAGCTTCCTGCACATTTACTCACAGATCAATTTTTAAGCCCATATCATGATCCATTTACTGTGCCAGGGAAAGAGTGATAATACTCATAACAATACTATGGAGACATTTTTACAGATAATGATTTTACAGATCCCTTTCTACCTATGAAAAATCTGTAAGTCTAAGAAGACAGATTAAATAACTTGAACGAAGTTACAGAATTATAGACCAGAGTCAGCATTCAATCAATCTTTCTACTGGCACTTTCCCAGAAGCATTCAACTACTCTTAGTAACTTGTAAGGATAGTGGTGGGAAAACAGAAAAACTAAAATTCCCTTGATTCCTTCCTTCCCCTCCCACCACTTTCTCTTATTTCTTTCCTCCCATTCACAGCCAAACTTTTGGGAGAAAGTTATACACATTTAACTGTCTCTGTTGTTACAGTCGTCTCCCCATTTAGTCTGAAATTAACTGCAACACACACCACCACTCTCCCACCCAAACATTCTACAAAAACCAGGAAGTGTGTGTTACTCTTCTGACAGCTGTATCGTCAATGCTCTATTATAGGGTACGGTACATAAAGCTCAGAAAGATTATATGGACTATATAAAGTTCAA